CCACTAATACCTTTATGGAAACATTGACAAGTGGATTAGGTTTATTCAAGCATATAGGATGGGTGGTACTTACATGTATGAGCTTTGATAATAGGGGTGTTTTAGGATGTAAGGGCTTATTTGGACAAGGTTGTCTTTTGAATATATACTCTTTTTAGCTTCGGGTATGATTTCAATACATAGGAGTTTGGCTCGTTCTACATCCCGTAGAGCTTGGCGATAGAAGCCAACATATAAAAGGTTACCCAAAATGCATGGATAATTTAAGCAAACACTTTACCAAGTGGTATTAGTATTTAGGGTAAAGTTTTACCAAGTGGTATTGGTATTGTTTAAGGTAACATTTGCCTAAAAGGCAGTGGCTAGGTGAGAACAATTTTACCAAAAAGGTCTTTTAGATTGGGTGTCCCAAGGAAGGTTACCTAAGTGTTTAAGTGAGGATGGTTTCCTAAAAAGTCTTTTAGGTTATGTGCCCCAGATAAGGTTACCTAAAAGAATGTGTTTAAGTAAGGACATTTTCTCAAAAAGCCTTGTAGGTTGAGTGCCCCCAAATGGGGTTACCTAAAAGGAAATGTTTAAGTGAGGACTGTTTCCAAAAAAGATCTTCTAGGTTGAGTACCCCAAGTGAGGTTACCTAAAATGAATGTTTAAGTAAAGACTATTTCCTAAGGTATTTAGGATAACGTTTCCCAAAAGATAAGGATGAGGTTCTCTAAAGTGTTTAGGCTGTCGACATTTCCTAAATTATAAGGATAAGGTTTCCTAGAAGGTGGAGCTTTTTAGGGTTTCCCAAGTTGTTGAGATTTGGAGGACATTTAAGATATTTAGGGCATTTAAGGTCAATGGTTTACTAAAAAGTTGAGATTTGAAAGGTGTCTAAGATATTTAGAAATTTTATGGTGTTTAAGGTAAAAGGTTGAGATGGATATTTAGCGCTTTCATGGTGTTAAAGGTAAAAGGTTCCTCAAAAGGTTGAGATTTGGAATATTCATAAGATACTTGGGTCTTTTATGGTCAAGGGTTTCTCAAAAGGTTGAGAATTGGAAGTTACCTAAGGTTCATAAAGCTTTTTAAGGTCAAAGATTTCTAAAAATAAGTTGAGATTTAGAAGATGCCAAGGTATTTAGGGCTTTCATGGTATTTAAGGCCTAGTGTTTCCTATTTTGAGGGTATAGATAATACTCCCTAAATTCGTTTTATTTATTGTTTTATTTACAGCTTTACCTTATTGCTTTATTTATGCGCTTTATATATTCATTTTCCATTAATCTTAAACTCTATTTTCATTTGGATTAAACATTAACAATTTGAACAATTAAATGATTATTTAAATCGAAAATGTAGTCTCCAAATCCTCCTTGGTTTCGATGACTAATACATAATTTTTAAATTGGAGTCAATTATAGATTTTTCTTAAGTTTATCCTAAAATAAAATTTAAGTAGAGTTTTGTGTTTTACTCTGTGAACCAAACCCAAATGCGTATTTTGATCCTATTTAGTAGATTGGACTTGGAAACTCGACACAATATAGCACGAAAACTACTTGACACTACATGCATACTTAGTAACAATTTACAGAAATTAGCGCTACAAATTTTGAATTTATGTACTATGCTCTTTTTATTGTCTTTGAATATAAATTTTTAAAGAAAGAACTCAACTAAGATATTACAATATAAAGATCAATTCAAAAATAACCATAGTCTACAACTAGAAGTAACTGTTGTAAGAATACATGGCAGTCATGGCATTTCATTCTCGATATTAAATCATCAATATTTACGCATCAGGACAGGTTAGATGCTTGGCATAAGGTAACTTCATTTATTTTTAATTATTAATAAAAGTTTCTTTTGGTTAACAACACAGTCTAACACGCTATAGCATTTAAATTATCGCCATCTTTTTGCAAGTTTGATTATTTTCTTATACCTGTTTCTTTTAAATCCAAATGATTCTTGAGGTTGCCTTTTGTCTTTCCATCAACATTAATCAATGTCCCTAGAATGTCTTATTGTCTTCCTGATAATATATATCCCTCTTTGATTATTTGAAACATCAATGCTTCAAAACATTTTAGAGTATTTCCTAATTAGGTGAATAAGTGCTTGGCTAAAACTTACTCAAGTGGAGACAAGATTTTTTATTTATAAATTAGGACCACATATTGCAAAACTTAGAGGAGCACATTAGTTATTAGGGATGACAATTTTTTCCGACTCGCAAGTATCCAATTGGATCCGATCTGATTTTGATTGGTTCAGATAGTGAATAAACGAGTTTGAAATTGATTCATATAGTATTTTTATTATCTGTGTCAAATTTGGATTGAATTCGGTTAAAAGACTCGGGTACCCGCTATCCATTACCCATTTAATCAATATTCTAAAATTATTTAAAATAATTATCTTTCTCAAAAAAAATTATATATTTAAATCTTTTTAATTATAATTAATGTTATATTTATATTTAATATTTTACATTATATGTTTTATTAAGTCAAAATAATAATTTATAATATTTACTTGTTTTTTATTTTTGAAAAATAAAAATAAGAATAAAATATATTTTTAATATTAAACGTGTAATTATAATTGGATTCACGTAATGCATTTTAGATGGTTACCCGATCCACTGCCATCCTTATTAGTTACGGAGTTGAAAGAAATTTAATCACAAGAGTAAATTGTACCTATTTTTTAGGGCTTAATATATTGTTTCACCCTTAACTTTAAGTTTTGTTGCAATTTCAGTCTGATTTGACCTTTTTATCAATTTCACCTTGAACTTTACTTTTTTGTTGCAATTTCACTTTAATTTGACCTCTATACTAATTTCACTATGAACTTTAACATTTTGTTGCAATAGTACCCTAAATTATAATTAAGATTTAAATTGTAAATAAAAAATAAATTCACTCTTGACCTTAAGCTTAGATTAACTTAATACATCTGTGTGAATAAGAGAGTTTAGGTTAATAGTAAAGACAATCCCTATTATTATTTTTAATATTTTTAAATTCTTTCTTTTATTGATAATAAGTAATATTTAATTTAGGGCTTAATATATTGTCACCTTACTTAAGTTTTGTGCTCTCTAATTTCACGTCCTGAAATTTGAAATCCCATCTTTTTATCAAATTTCCCCCTAAATTTTGAACTTTACCTTTTTTTTAGTTTGCCCAATTTCAAGCTTTAATTTTGACCTCTATACTATTTCACTATGAACTTTAACATTTTGTTGCCCAACAGCTACCCCTAACAGTTATTTAATTAAGATTTTAAATTGTGCTAAACCTAACTAAAATAAAAATTCACTTCTTGAACCTTAAGCCTTAAGATTAAAATCTTAATACCATCTGTTTCGTGAAGAATGTAAGATGCGATTAGGTTTTAATCGCTAAGAAAATTCCCTATTATGTGAGTTTTTAAATATTTTTTAAATTCTTTCTTTTATTGATAAATTAAAGTAAAATTATTTTGAGAACAAAGTAAAATATATAAATATTGAATATGATATGTAATTAAAAAAATCAAAAATAATTTATATATAGGATATTGATTTTAATATATAAATATTTATAATCAGCAATTACGTTATATAAAAATCTAAAGCCCATACCACGCTATTTTACAAGACCCAAAGTCCGTACACTCATACGAATATATTAATAATCCAAGCCTAAAGTTTAAGGATATCTTGACAACCTTTTTTTGTTTCATTTAAGTCCCTTAATCATAATTTTTTAAGGATGTGGCGTATGCTAACAAAAATAAGTCATATAATGGGTGCAGCGGATGAAGTCACGGTGGCTCTATTTTAATATCCGAATCTATCAATTATAGATGTTAGAGTCAAATTGATGATATATATATTGAGACAATAGAGTGAAATATATGAGTCACAAATGTTCAGTATTGAGATTGATTTGCATAAAGGTCCTATAAATGAGAGGAGTTAAGTAATAGCAATATATATATCTAAGTTAAGGGTTGTTATAATAAATATTAAGTATAACTCTCAAGTCTATTATGCACCAACATAATATATTTAATTAAAATGTTTCTAACATTTTATTTATATGATAATTTAATTAGATACACACGATAAAGACCAACTACTACTTTAATGTAAAATTATACTATATGTCGTGTCATTTGTGTGTGGAGATTGGAAACGTCTCTCTATTTTTAAATTTGATGTTAAGATCTGTCACTTCGGGATAAATAATTAAAGATGGCATGAATTGTATTATATGTTAACTCTATAAAATAAATTTTTAATATTTTTAAATTCTTTCTTTTATTGATAATAAGTAATATTTAAAAATTAATTATTTGATATATGAATTTTTTTAAAAAAATCAAAATATAATTTTTATTATGGTTTGATTTTAATATAAATTTTAAAATAGTTATAAAATCTAAAGCAAAGCTATTAACCCAAAGTCCGTCACTCATACGAATATATTAAGTTAATCCAAGCCTAAAGTTAAGATTGAACCTTTTTTTTTTTTCATTTTAAGTCTTAATTATAATTTAGGGTGCTATTGCAACAAAATGTCAAAGTTCAGGATGAAATCGGCATAAAAATCAAATTGGAGTAAAATTGCAAGAAAATGTCAAAGTTCAGGATGAAATTGGCATAAAGGTCAAATTGAAGTAAAATTGCAATAAAATCTAAAGTTAAGGGTGAAATAATATAGTAAGCGATTTTAGTGCCTCAAAAAGTTAATTAAAAGGCAAAATATGAAGTATATGGCCACACCAAAAGACACTACTCTTAGAAAATTTGGCATGTGGTGGAGGTCGTCTTCGGGATAATAATTAAAGATGGCTTAAGGTAGTCTCTAAAATTGGTACTTGCTCGGTTCCTAATACTGAGCTTTGTGCTGTTATGGAAGGGCTGGAAGTGGCTACAGATTTGGTATACAGAATATCCATATGGAGTGTGACAGCCTAGTAGTGGTCCAGTTTTTGAAGGGTACAATTCAGTCCTCTAGAGCTCTTTAACAACTAATCATTGCCATTCAACATTTGTTTCTTCACTTCCAGTACATGTGAGATTACTAGGAACTATCCATTGGCTACCCATATCATCTTGAATCCTCCACTAGGACTGTCCTCTTAGATTTTGAATGATAATATGGATGTCTCATACCCTAAATTAACAATGTATTCTTAGAGCTATGCTCTCTTTTATTATAAAAAAAAAAAAAGGGCACTACCCTTAGGCCTTCTTGAGGAATTCCATGACATAGGTATTAAAAGCAGAACATATTACTTGGAAACCTTGAAATCCAGCTCCTTTAGCTAATGTCTCGAATTCCTCTTCAGTCCTCTCTTTCCCACCAGGAAGGTGAGCCAACATTAAGCAATCCATGTGGATGACTGCCTTTGTGGCAAGGCTAGTGTCTGGGGCTACTGGAAGAATGTATTCTGCCACAATTACTTTTCCATTTGCCGGTATTGCATTGTAACAATTCTTCAACAATTTTAAGCAATATTCATCGCTCCAGTCATGACATATCCACTGCAAAGTATAAACATATTATCGAGATCAAAAATCATATGGATGATATATTTATTCTCTTTTACAAAAAGATCTGAATAAAATATCAAGGAAAGTATATTTCAAACTCACCTTCATGAAAATGGCATCGCCTTTAGGTGCAGTAACAAACATGTCTCCACCAACATGCTCCACACCTACATTCAGCTCAATATCTCAGAATCTCGTAATCAACTTTAAGAAGGTCCAGTTAACATTATACAATCCACAAGAAGTTCAAAAAGAGACAAATGATTAATTGAAATAAATTCCCTATAACTTAATGTCTGTTTGGTTTAATTATTATGGTTAAACCTAATAGTACAAGTTAAATATTAACGGCTAGAATTTTTAAACTTTCAGCAATTCAACTACAATTTTTTAACCATTAGTCACTTTGTTTCAAATGCAACTACAATCGCTGAGTTAAATAAACTAAACAAACTATAATCCAATTGAAGTGCAAAGCATTAGGAGATTAAGTGAATACCAGGAAAAGACGGGGCATCCTCAATTACATGGGGCAAATCAAAGTTAATACCCTTCATCGAAGGGTACTTGGTGACAATCATGTTAAGTACAGCTCCAATTCCGCCACCCACATCCACTAAAGATGTGAGACCCTCAAAGCCTTTGTAGGTTTCAAGAATTTTTCTCATGATAATGGTGGAATGGTAAGACATTCCCTCGTTGAAAACCTTATTAAACCTTGGATCTGTGCCGTGGTATTCAAATAGCGTCATTCCATAGGCCTTGTTAAATGCAACTCCTCCTTCAAGAACTACATCTTTCAAATGATACCTACAATAAACACAAACATGAATAACATAAAATCCTCATGTGAAGTTTAAAAATGAACCCAAAATGAAGACTTTGGGTCAATGCTTAATTGTAGTCCAACATTAATAATAGGCAAGCCACCGAGATAAATAAAAAATCATTTGAATGAAGTATTTTTTTTATATTTATAAATTTTATCTCGTGAAAAATACAACTGAAAATTAAGAAAAGTTATTTAGAAATATTATTACTACAAAATAATTTTTGGTTAATTATTTTTTAATTAAAATAAAAATCAAGTTAAAATATCTTAAATTAATAATTGCAATAAAAAGTATTAGGATCAAATATTAAAAAAGAAAAATGTTTTTATATTAAATATAAATAAAATATTCACTTTATTATCAGCCTAGTACCTAATTTTAATCCTGAACTTTGATCAATTCGGCTTGTGATTCCCTGAATTTTATGAGAATTCAATTATAATGTTTGACACTTTTATATTTCACTAATAACTATATTTCTTAACAAAATAAAATAATTTTATAAGATTCAACCATGACTCTGCACTTTTACATTTGAGTTATTATTGAAATGTGAATTGGAGGGTCATGATTGAATTCCCGTTTAGTTCAGGAGACCAAAAGGATAATGGCTGAAACTACAGAGTCAAATACATTAGGCACTTTATTTTCAAAAGTTAAACTTTAAAATTTTTTAATTCCAAAATATATTTCTTCTAATATCAAATTTCTCTTGAAAATATATTTTATTTCCATTGATCTGGTTATAGAATTCAAATCTCCTCGTTGGAATCACCACTCAATGTGAATCAGAGTTTGTGTAAAAGAATTTGTCGTTTGGATGTTCCAAACAAAGTGAGACATTTTCTGTGGAGATTGTTATAGGGTTTGCAGCCCACAATGCATAACTTGAGAAATAAATTTGTAGAGGTTTGTTAAGGATATATATCTTGTACCAACTTGTAAACAAATTCCCTACAAAATAGGAATCTGAAAATCAAATCCCTTTAGAATAGGTTCACTATTATTGCTCTTCGTATATATATGTAACCTATCTTAGATATCGCAGAGGAGAAGGAGTCTATTTTTCCACTCTTATTTCGTAATTATGCATTGTTTCTATTGGCTTCTTTAATCCTTTTCATGGTATCAGAGCCAACAAGCTCACTACGATGATGTCTCCTGATGATTTAGCGAAGATTATCGCTGCAATTAACACCAAAACTAATGCGGATGGATTGTGCGGATGCCGGGTATTCCAACACAAAGTGAGAGCCGGACTGTTCTGTGGAGTATTGGTTTATAGGGTTGCAGCCCACAACTGAGCATAAACTTTGCAGAAATAAATTTGTAGATGCGTTTGTTAAGGATATTAAGCCGTGATCTTTGTACAACTTGTAAACAACATTCCCTACAAACATAGAGAAGTCTGAAAATCAAATCCCTGTGGTGAGGAATAAGGATGTCAGGAAGCTATATAGTTACTGAGACAGTATGAGACAGAGAAGAAAAAGAAAAATATATAAGAGTAATGTAGAGGCCATCCGTAACATGAGTCGCCCTCTCTCACAAGCGAGGATAAGAAAAGTATTTTCATGAATTCGTATCACTACTCCTCCTGCTCGCAAAATCTTATTTATTTTCTTAAATTAACTATGTCTTGTTCCTGCTATTGGGCCTTGCGTTCGCACCCACTATTTTCTCAATGAGGGCCTATCTCACCGACAGTCGCAATTCGAACATACTCGAGCCAACATATTGATCTGCCCGAGCTGAGAACTTTTCGCCGACTAAACCTGATAAATCGGTCCGACAAAAAAGCGGGAAATCGGATTTATCGCTGCAGATTCAGACAAGATGATAAGTCTCATACCCTATATCGCCGGATTGGCATTCAGCGAACTTTTGACTCCATGTGAATCCCCCCTCTCGACAGCCCACTTGTTTGAGTTTAGCATTCGTTAACAGCCTCCTCGATGGGCCAAAATAATCTTTCTTCCTGGAGTCAATCTGTTCAAATCGCTTCTTTGCTCGGGAGCACCTAAGGAAGACAACTTGCCGAAATCTATCAGTCTCAACATCGGTCAGGAGTCAATCTGTTCAAATCGCTCTTCGGGCTAAGAAGAAACTTGGATTCATCTATGGCAAAATCAAACCACCATCGCCGGAATCTGATGATTATGACAAATGGTTGACCGCCGACAGTATGGTCGTTTCCTGGTTACTGAACGCCATATCCAAAGACATCTCAAATGCATTTGTATTCTGTAAAAATGCAAAGGCTCTTTGGGACAAGCTGAAGCAATGTTATGGGGAGAGTAATGGGCCGATGATTTATCAAATTGAACGAGAAATTGCTGGTTACAAACAAGGTAATAACTCTATCACAGATTATTACACCAAACTGAAACACAGGTGGGATGAATTAAGTTGCCTAGCTCCATTACTGTGGATTCCAGGTACTGCGATTGCCGATTACGATAAACAATCGTCGGTTGAATTGCAGGTTTTTGATGGTGATGGGTGATTGAGTACGACCAACGTGAAAAAAATCAGATTCTGGCTCCAAGATCCCTTACCTTCCATTAAACAGGCTTTTCTCTATGCATCGTGAGTGTTTGAAAAACAACGGGAGGTGCAAACTGGATTAGTACTGCTTTCCACGAAACCGCTACTGGTTTATGCTTTCCGCACAAAGGACTTCTACGGGAAAATCGTGGCAGTGTCGGGCTGGGTATGGCAAAAAATACCTCTTCCGCCAGAAAAAAGAGGGAACGAAAGAAGCATATTGGTTCTAAATGCAAGACCTATTGGGCACCTATTTGATGACTTGCTTCTTATTCATGGATATCCAGATTGGTTCATCGATTTACAACGGAAAAAGGGGTGGATGTTCGCAAATATTACAGTGCTAATAACGTTATTCGGAGTTGCTCCAATGATGCATCTCTGGATCGATAGTACCGCAGCAAAACAAGTGTTGGATCCTCTGACAACAAGGGAGTGTCTGATTATTACAACAGGAGGTTTTAGAAATTTCGTCGCGCCAAAGGCAGCAAGCCAAATTGCACACGTTCTGAAGGGGAATATCCGAACCGTGAATTTTGCAGGTACTTTTTACTTAATTTCATATTTTTTACAAGCATTAAATTTTAATTGCCAAGGATAATTGGATATAGACACGGCGCAACTGAATCACATTACACCCCCATCTCATTTTATGAATCATGTTATTAAAAACTTCAATCCACCCACCACCATTCCGACTACCTCGAACATTTCCACACGGGCTTGGTTACTCACATTGGTAATATTAGATTGAATGCTAGAATTGTGCTCTATAACGTTTGTGTGATGTTCCATCCTTTCAATTGCAATCTGTTATCTGTCAGTCTTCTCACAAGAACTTGTGGCTTATCAGTTCACTCATTCCTGATATTGTGGTATTCCAGGATTTACCGGACCATAGTGAATTTTTTGGCAACAGGAACTGTGATCAGAGACCTTACTATTTGACGAAAGATTCTTTTTTCTAGACAAAATAAATTGTATCTGTTGCTCGTTGTTTGAGCACGATAAAACAACTTGCTGACTTTGCATTGCCAGAATAGGACACGTATTCCTTTTTAAACGCTTGAAACAGTGGATTGGAATTTGCTCATTGTGATTATACTGAATATAATGGTTCTACTTGTCCTGTTGCTAAGCCAAACGAGATTATCTTTCCTACCAGTGCTATTTTCTTCTGAGCATGTGTTTGATTTTGATTCATGCTGATATGGGCCATACAAGTTGAATCAATTACCAAACGCTGTTTATATGTTAACCATCGTTGATGATTATTAGCCGGTTGGTGGACTTATATGTTTGAAAAATCCAAAGACCCAGGTGTGTTGCCTTGCAGATCTTTTTTTTAATTATTGTGATACTCATTATGACACGGGTAAAGGATTATTCGGCCACTGATAATGGAACAGAGTTGTTGAATACTGCATGTAGTTCTTTACAGGAACATGTACTTTTACACCAGAGGACTTGTGTTTATAACCCCTCAGCAGAATGGAGTTGTTGAAACGGAAGCATCGGACACTTTTAAACATTGGCGCTCGCACATTTGCTTTCAATCCAGTTCCAATCTCCTTTCTGGTCTGGAATTATGTTGGCTGCCACTCATATCGCCAATAGATTTAGCCATCTGAAAAATCGGATTGGAAAACTCCATCGAGCGGGCTGCATGGGAAAACAGGTTAATTATAGTTTATTTTCGTTACCATTGGATGCCTTTGCTATGTGCTACCAACACAGTACCCCATAAACAGAAGGTTGATCCTCGAGCTTTTCCTTGTGCCTTTTTGGGTTATGCTCAACCATCAAAAAGCCTATTAAACTCTACTGTTTAACCCACCAAGACAATTATTGTTTCCAGAGACGTTGTTTTTATGGAAAATATTTTCCCATTTCACCCAACCCAACCCAACTAATGTCTACTACCTTGTACTACCCATTGTGCCGTTGGAAACTGAAACCTTGTAACACCCTTCCCGGTTCCACCGTTAACCCGAATTGAACCGAGTCGAGATGTTACAAAACTGGTTGACTGTATGGTCTGACAGTACTGAAAACATACTGTATATTGAATATAATAAACATGCTGTACTGTTTCCAAAAATAATGTTTAATTATATATTTACCGAAAAACCATGATACCAAGTTTACAAAATGAAATGGCGCCCAACTGTGTGCCCTGTACATGCCATAAAAAGAAAACTAAATGAGTTTCTACCCTGAAGACGAGTTCTTCTACAGATGAAACTGCAAAAAGCAGTGTACGCGGACTCCTCATGGACCAGTCTCAAAACCTGCGAGTTAAACAGGTAAAACTCGCTGAGCAAATAAGCTCAGTGGATATCTCAACATTATCAGTTAACAATTAAATGCATACATGAGTACCAAAGAGCCAAGAAGTAAACAACCATGTAAACACATAAGGTAACAGATAATCACACAATCATCTTAC